AAAAAAAAAAATCCCCTCCAAATACTCCAAAAACAACCTGTGAGTTCATACTTGATGAGGCCATTCAAACCATGTATTTGTAAGCAACCAGCCATAGCCGGCTCAGCATGAAGGGGTCAGTAGAATTAACATAATGAGAGATCCCCAAAGGGAGAACCGGGACCACTAAATCCCAGGGACCTTCCCCCCCCCCCCCCCCCCGCGATGATTGTCCTTCCACTGCCAACATAAGAGGATATGGGTTAGTGAACGAGCTTCTGGGCACAACTTTAAATTCTTTCAACAGAGCCATGAACTTTGCACATTGTGCTCCTTTGTGCCTTCAGTTCCCATTCCCAAACTTTCGTCCTTTTGGCAAGCTCTTACTCATTATTCATGTTCCCGGTTCAAACATCATGTTCTCTAGGCAACCTACCCTGACACTTCCTCTTCTTCCAAAACTGTGCTCCTTTAGAACAAACAGGGTCTGCCTTCAGTTACGGTGCCTAGCAATACAGAAACAGAACATGAACTCAATAAAGGTTAGTGGAATGAGCAAAAAAGCTACTTTGCTTTTTCCTTTAAATATATTTTTTCGGGGTGGCAGGGTGGCTCAGACAATTAAGTGTCCCACTCTTGATTTCAGCTCAGGTCATGATCTCAAGCCCAGCATCTGGCTCTGCGCTGACAAGTGTGGAATCCGCTGGGGATTCTCTCTCTGTCCCTCTCCCATTCGTGCACGCTCTCTCTCAAAATACACTTCTTAAAAAACCTATTTTTTCAATAGGTAATTCAGAACACCGCAAAAAAGTTCAAACTGCACATGAAAAATTCAGAGAAAAGTAACTCTTTCCTCCATTCCCATCCGTCCTCCCCTTGGAACCAGTTGTGTTTCCTCTCAGTGTGACTACCCACATACGGGTATTTCAGTGTTTTCTTGCCTTTTTATTTTTTTTAACACAATGGTAGAAATATACGCGTTATCTATAAAACAATAAAATACAACTTATAAATATACGGACATATTTAGCATATAATTGTTACACTGAATATCTTCTATATAAATACTACACAGAATATAAACATGCATGTATACACCGATTTCTGTGCCGTGTTTTTGCTTGTCAGGCTTTGTTCTAAGAGCCGTAATATTCCACCATAGGGGCATACCATAATTTTCTTCACATTCTCTAATTTACAAAAAATTCCACTTTCACCGTCAGGCCCCCGACCCCCAGACGCAAATACCGTCGCCCTTCCACCCACCCCGGCGGCTCCCGCGTTCTCAAAACACCTTTCCACAGGCCCAAAGCCCGGCCCGGCACGGAACGCGACCTCCGCCTTCCCACAACGTGCCCCGCGCCCCCACCGCAGGGCGGAAGGACGCGGCGCCCATGCGCGTCGCGGCGACGGAACCGAACCTTCCACTTCCCTCCCCTCCCCCTGGGTCTCCCGGCCGCCGGGGTCGCCCGCTCAAACGTGCCTGAACGACCGGCGCCCGGCCTTCCCCGGCTCGGGGCGGACCGGGAAGACGGGCGCGGCCGGCTCGGCGCTGGGCGGGGCTCCGGCGGGGCTCCGGCGGGGCG